AGGGGAGGATTGCCCTCACCTTATAAAGTGGATCATTTATATTTTCCCAAGCAATGTGGGATTCTAATACGCCCCCTCACGCACAGCGTGGACCATGCCAAACAACTGTGAATAAATCGATATTGGGTGGCACCATACATTGCATAAATTGGGCCTAACTCTAATACCATGTTGATTTTAATGAAATAAAATAATAGAACACAATACTCTCGCGAAGCTCCCTGTCCCTCCCAAGTTTATTTTATGAAAAACATATATATTGTTACAAAACAACGGAATCCAATTTATAATAATTCCTAATCTAAGAAAAGGAAAAGTTTCCTAATCTAAATAAGGTGAGCAATCAATAACGATAATATCATATAATACACGGGATTTCAACAGTGAACATTTTTGGGTTTGACTGAAATCTCTAACACCTTAATTTTCCTCTTAATAGGGGTCATCTGCTGCAGTGGCAAATGTGGCACAACCAACATGCAGCAATGCAGCATCTGCAGATTCAATTATAAGCTGTAGGACAGATTCACATTTATGTTTTACGAGACAATTTTCTGGCCTCAATGTAGATAGTAGTGCTGGTGATCATCAAGAGTGCGGACCTTCTTCGATGCTTCTCGTGCGTGAGCCACCGTGGTGTTCTCCAGGTCCTGAAAGTTCCACACCTTCTATCAGGAATGACGCAGTTATGCGTTATAAAGAGAAGAAAAAGACACGAAAGTAAGATTTTATTTGATTTTTCTTAATTTTCATATGTTGAAGGTGAACTTATTGGAGATGATATTGATTAGTATTGAATCATATCCTATATCTGGTACCACCATAAAATCTGTGGACCTTACACATCACTATTAACCGGTTTACAATGTGAGATTTATCTTCGACTTGTACATCACACATCATTGTAATGTGAAAAATTGGGACACGCCAATATTCCCCCCTCAGTGCCAAGGCTGGAAACACTCCCCCTCAGCGCTAAGGCTGACGTCACTTCCCCTTGACACATGTCTAGAGAAACAAAGCAAACCTGTCTATGGAATACACCCACTTTGACACTATGTAAGAAAAACCAATGTTCTAAAAGGCGTGAAAAGGCATTGGCTAGGCATGAGGTGTTTTCAAAGAGCCTCGCATTAGGGCAAGCCGTGGAAAAAGGTGGTCAAGAACTGTTTTGACTGCCTAATGCGGGCTTAGGCTCCAAAAGGCGTGCACCCTTTTTATAAAAAAATGTTATTTATTTTTATTTTTTTCAATTTTTTTGGAGCCATTTCTTGGACCTAATGGCTAATGTGCGTCCTTTAGTGCCAACGATTTCTCGACCTAATTTACCTTAAAAAGGGTCTTGTGCTTTAAATTTTCTAATTTTTGAAAACTTACAAATTGTCTAGTTGTAGGAATTATTACGTAATTATAGTATTTATAATTTTAGTTGTTTCGTATACATTATTTTATTTATTTATTTATTTAATGGTCATAAAATAAATAAAACAATATTAAAAATAAGAAACTACCTTTTTCTGCCTAGCCTCCTAGTAAGGCCCGAGGCTTGATCTCGTCATCTTTCCACTTTGTACACCTTTTAGAACACTTGGAAAAATAGTTATGTGTTGAATGTCTTTATTTCTCTAATGAGAGATCTACACTAATAGAGCATTGGATTCATCTATTTAGAATGCTAAACTAACAAGGATATATAGTATAGTCCATATTTGGCCCCATTTTCTAAAACTTATTTTAACCACACATTTTATGAGACCCGCAATTTTTATCAACTTCTCAACCACTCGTTTCGTCAATATTTATCAAAATCTACTAAAAATATAATTTTTATCTCAACCATACAGGGGCAAAGCTAATAAACAATTAAGCTCATGTACAGCAGGTGTTAAGTAACTCCACTTACCGGTTTCAACTTCTTCCTAGGAATTGAAGTTTTTATGATTTCTTCTAAACTGTCTTTCGAATTTGACCATGTAACAGATTTGAGAAGAAAGTGAGGTATGCATCTAGAAAGGTAAGAGCAGATGTAAGAAGACGCGTGAAGGGGCGTTTTGTCAAGGCTGGTGAAGCATACGATTATGATCCACAGATCAAAACTTTAAGTTTCTGATTCAATCTTAATGGTTATTCAATACTGAGAAGGGATCGATCAATTGCAGTTGGGGATTGCAAAAGGATGAGAAGGATTATTTCCTGTGCAATGACAAAGCATATAGTTGTGTACTTGTGTTGCAGGGATATTTTTTTTCACACACACACACTCACTCGGCAGGTTGGTTAACAGGAAGAATGATTTCCCGACTACATTTGACTACAGTGTATTGATTGTCATTCTCTTGACAAGAATAGCCCGACCCCCTAACGCGTTAGTCTACACTGTCAGCCATCTACTCTATAGAGGAAAATGCAAACAGTCTGAAACTGCAGCTGTGCTCGGTTCGCCACGTCAAATGATTCTGTTACTTTTTGCTTCATTAGCATTCCTAACTTGGTGATCTTATCTATGGTAAGATGGCAAACTATTAAAAGGTCAGGTAGTCAATGTACTGTTGGGGATACATTTATTAGAGAAGCTTGTTACTTTAAATATATTTGTTTTATTTATTTTATGGGATGACAGTGTATTGCATAAGTCATCCAATACAGTTGAGGGTGATTCTAAATATAAGTAAGAAATGCACATTGAGTGATTGAGATTGGTTAAAAATAAATCACTTGTTGAATTCTTTCTTGGATCGCTGTGTGACAGCAAGTGCTTGTTAAACTCTAGATAAAAGGTACTCTCAAAATGTTCTCATATGGAAAATCTTTGTTAGCTGTCATATCCATTCCAACATATCAAACATTCTCGTCTTCTTCTCTCCCATTTTGCTCTATTTTTTGAGAAGGGCATTTACGTCTTTATGCCAAAAATTACATGAACACATCTAACTTTTTAAAATTACATAAATATGGACGAACGCTACAACAAATGATTTTTTTTTTCAGCAATAAGACGTTGATCTAACCACCACAAGCGCCACGAAGGACTATCTCACTATCCAAAAAAAAATAAAAATAAAGCATCAAAGGTCGTTTCCTAACACTCAAAATAATGTCAAACTGTTGAACACCTTTTTCATCCCTCGATCTTGATGCATTTCGTCCCTTCAGTGCATTTTGAGCCTCGTTTACCTGTGTAATACACCAACAAGAAGTTCAAAATTTAGCAAATTGGGTGCAGAAAAAAGGGCCATTCTGATGAAGGCGTAGCAACTTACAGCATTAAACAACTTAGACAACTGAAAATCCAGCAGGATAATTCAAAATGCGCACGCTCAAATATATAACGAATAAATGCCTTCGTTCCAGTGTCCTCTTTTGCCCCGCATAAACTAAACCAACAATTGAGATATGCATGAAAGTTAAAGCTTATATAAATTCAGATACACCCAACACATGGAAACTCGTAGTTCATGGATAAATAAAAACCGTTTCAACACAAAAAAATTGAGCAAACATATAATAACGGATTTAAAATTGTAACCAAGTGTCGTGAGTGCTTCTATACCACAAATATTCACATTTAATTTAGCCCATGTTTGATTTAGCTAAAATCAAGATTTAAGTGGATTTGATAGAATTGAATAAAAGTTGCGAGTCCATGCATGGATGGTTGAAAATGAGTTTATAAAAAATATGAGCGAGTTAGGAACGTAAATATAAACTTTCAAGTAGAATCCCATATATGGGATCCGGCCAGATTTTATGCAAACTTTTAGGTAGAATCCCATGGAATTATGTCATAAAGATCATGAGATCTAAAGTACAAAATGGAGTGTTATGAATTAAAAGAGTCTATGTACCAAATCTCGAGATATTATTTTAAATAAAATTGAGTAACACAATTCATTAACTATAATTGAATACCCTACGACCTCTTCATGACATCTCAATTCACATAGCAAATGCACACCCCTATCCATTACTTTGTTCTATAATCATATCGTGCAGTGACGTAAGTATCGGAGTGCTAATAGAGGAATTTTTCAATTCATTTTTTTGTAGGTTATTTGTAATGTACTAAGAATTATTAATTCAATATCTTTTTTTTGTCAATTAAAGTCGACTGTAAATCAACGTATTTTAAAGATACAATTATAAATAAACAATTTACTCGAACATATCATCACAACTAAATAATTCAATTTGTATCGTATTTTTAATTGATAGTAACTATTACTAATACTTTGTAATAGACACTACCCTATTGTTTGGTTCAAAACTCTTTGCTCATGCTTGATACCGATTAAAATCTAGACGTTAACGTAAGTCAGAGTCAACAATTAATTTTAATCACATATTTATGGGTCCCACAACTTTTCAAACACGCATTCAATCAATTTCTATTAAAAATCTGATTTTAATCCCCCACAAAACAAGAGTTATATAGCAGAATTTTAGAGGAAATTTAACTCCAAAAAAAGTAATACTGTAGAAACAAAAATACAAATAAGCAAAATCAAACATGATATAAAGATCCATTCGAGAGGATTATTATTATTTTTTCTTTTTCTTTTATCGGTAAATGTAAATTTTATTGATCACTCTTCATATTTACAAGTACTCTGAGCATACCTGAGCAAGAATGATCAAACATGTACAAACGGTAATGCTTTAAAGACTCAACGCTAAAGACTCAAACTGAATCAAACATGTATATACGATGAGAATGTAATATTATATACATGTGTTTTGATCCGTCTAACAATGCTCTCAGATTGCGGTCCAATATCTTCAAAAAAAGCATATTATGAGCTGTCCAGATGTGGTAAATAGTGCTGGCTAATGCAACTCTCTTTGCCTTGCTTTGCCAAGTAGTCTCTCGCACTTCCTTCATCCATTTCAATGCACTAGCAATTGTAGTCATGACTCTTGTGATGCCCAACAAAACTCTAATCTGTCCCCAAATTGATGAACTCATAGAACATTGGAGGAAAATGTGTTGGGCAGATTCAACTGAAGTCTGACAGGACAAACGTGTTGTCGATGTCCATGTATTGTAGGCGGTATTTAGTGAGAAGTTTGTTTTTTTCTCTAAGCCTAAGGATAAAAGAATGCTTGAGAGTTATACACGGGCTCCAAACTTCCTTTGTCCAAGACATAGTAGGTTCCTTTGGACAAAATTGCATTATTAGAAAATTATTTTATGTCAACTTTTTCTAAAAACTCTAGTAATAAAAAATACTTTAAAAAATTATTCAAATGAGTTCAAAAATAATTTTTAATCTAAAAATAACTTTCCACTTCTCAAAAATCATATCATACAAATCCTAAATCACTTTCATTGCAAGTGATATTACACCTTTGATTGTACTACATAAAACAAAATACTAAAATTAGTCTCAGTTTCCACTTGCCTTCCCCGTAATTATCGCTAAAAAAAATTTGTATGCAACTAGCAAGGAACATGGATGAGTCAATAATTTTTGGTGAGGTCAGAAGTTTTGACAGTACAAGTACTAGGAGCAGACTCTTATCTACCATTGTCAACACCTGTCTAAATATTCATCTTTCTTATTTTCTACAATCTGTAATCCCTCACCAGTAAGTTTTTTGCGCCTTTTTTCTTATGGGTTTTAATTTATGGAACATATTCACTTTTTATGTTTTGGGGAACAATATTGTGGAGCATTTCTTGATGGGTTTCATAGTATGATCTTGCAGAGATCTAAATTTTTTCAGTTTCGTCAAGGTTTTTGTATAGTTTATTCTTGATTGTTGTTGTTGATTGATAGTGAACAAATTATCTGCTTTTGAATTAGGTATATTTTGTGAGTTTCCATTTTTGGACTTCAAATGACAGAGAAATTGCTTCTTACCTTTTCAGTTTCATATCATAGACTCAAGTTTCTGGGTTTTTTTTCTTGCATATAAATTGTCAAACAATAGGAGAAATTTCAAATAATATGAAGAAAGTGAAAAAGAAAAGGTGGATTTTGGCTAATGAATGTATTGTTCTCTATTAAATGTCTAGTAAATCAATTTATAATCTTTTCCTAATGTTCCTTTTCACCGTTATTTGTCAATTCATATTGATCTAGGGTGGGAACAGTTTTTTAGAAGCTTTGTTTTGCACACGAGGTAAGCTTGTGAATCTATTGTATTCTGTTTCCATGTTTATTGGAAAAACTTGTATATAATCTGCTCTCTAACAATAAACACGTGTTAATCTCGAAGTCTTGAATGAAATCGTGTTTTAACTCCTTGTTCTTCCTTTTTTTCATTCTTTAACATTGATAATTTGACAAACTTAGTACTAAGAAGGGAACTATACGAAAAACGCAAGAGACATGTAGGCCGCAGCGTGTCTTGAAAAGTCTCTTCCTGTAGCATCTGTTGGATTTTTAATAGATACGTCTTGTTTGATTCCAGAAATACAATTCTTGAAATCAAATCCCATTTTCTTTTTTCTGTGAAAAATGGGTTGGAACTGGTTTTAATGTAGCATCTGAAAAAACATTTGAAGTTGGAAGTTTGGTTTATCCTCATTTCTTTATTCTTCCATCGAAGGTATAAAATATCATGAGCTGCCTTCGAAATGATTATAAACTTCTCCAGTTGTGACTTATATTCTTGCTACGTATTGTTCTTGTCATTTGAGCTGAGTCGATACTTTCTGATTTTCCAGTAGGTTACAATTCCAAAATGGGTTTGTCATCATATTCAACTCCAGCTGACGTGGGAGTATTCTGTGTAATTCTGGTAAACACAGCCATATCCATTTCCATTTTCAAGGAGATTTTTCGTTCTATCCTTCATGTCATGGGCATCCATATAGCATCACAGGAAGAATTCTCACCAGAATCCTCAGACTCAGTTGAATGTCATAGAACCCCCTCTGAGTTGTATGTGGAGGAGTTCCAAAGCCGAACACCAGCTGTACGTTACGACTCAATGATTATTCGCGACTGCCCCAAGGAAGAGTGCTCGGTCTGCTTGTCTGAATTCAAGCAAAATGCAGAGGTTAACCGTCTGTCTTGTGGTCACGTTTTCCACAAGTCGTGCCTAGAGAAGTGGTTGAAATACTGGAATGTCACCTGTCCTCTTTGCAGGAATCACTTTATGCCTCAAGAAATAGAGGATGATGCCTGTCCTATGTGAGTTAACTTACCAAGATGCTTCTCGAGGAAGTTCCATTGTACATCTTAGTAGTGTACGAAAATGTATAAGATTGTATGATCATCTTGTGTTTTTTGATGTGTATGTTTAGCATCGTGTTTTGCGTCCTCTTGTAGCGACGGGTCTCTTTGACCAATATTGTACATGAAAGGCTTCTGACACTCTGATCCTGGGTTTTTATTTTGATTTCAGGCTTTATAAAAATCATCTTCCTAGTATTATTGACGTTCTGCAGCATTCTACCTCTCTGTGGCTAGGTGGAGAAATTTAGATAATTTGGGAATGTCAACTACTAAATAGTCAGGAATGACTTATTTTAGTGTGGCAGTTTTGGTTTAACTAAGGTTATTCAACAATCCACGAGACAGCTGAACAACTATGTTCACAGAAAGGATGAAGGTGGCAGATCTCCTAGCTTTGGCAGATCATCTGTAGGTTTAATGATTTCATGCATAACCGTGTCATGATTGGTAAAACGTTTGAGGAAAGATTGAAAACTAAACAGTTCTTTGTCTCGCAACCCTTGTTCGACATGTGAAAATGGATGCATATTTAGTGAAACATTTTGGAAGTCGGAGGTTTTTGCTCGGTTTAGTTGATTGGTAGCTTGGTAGCCTTTCGTTTTTCTGAAACTGAAGTGCTTGAAGGTTGAAGCAAACTATTTGATCATTTCCAGCAGATTTTACAATTGTGAGCTAGTCCTTTCTGAGAACTGGATGAAATGAAAAATCCAACTATTCCTTGCACGACTATTGATGTGAAAAAGTGGGGTTTACTGGGAAGAAATTCTCTTTTATCTACATTGACGATAACGACTCAAGTCTTGTACCCAATATGTTTTAGGTCCTTTTGCACCACTGTGTTAGGTTCATTGCTAGATTTTGTGGATGGTGTAGCTGTTGGGAATTTACTTAACATGAACAGCGGAAATAAAACAATTTTCAATTCCCAAACGAGGATTTGCGATGTGTTTAGATAGAAACTGTGATGAGAATGATACCTTTGATGAATTCCACAAACTCTTTTACTTTTTCTTGAACTCCAATGATCACGATCTGCAATCCAAACTGTCCAATTGTCCAGCTTCCAATGATGATCCACACAGAGAACAAGAATGACGACTAGGATTTTCTTTTCTTGTGCTAGCAAGAATAATGAAAAATTCCATACTGTTTTCAAACCCAGTAGCCTATTAATATAAGTCCAAATGGGCTCGGCCCATCTGTTAAACTTAAC